GCGTAACTCGATTATCACGGGCCGGCGCGGGGTTGCCAGTCAGGGATCAAGCCCCCGTGCTTATTCCTGTTGTTGCATGGAGCCCGTGCATTATGCAGTTGAGCGTTTCACACCCCTGTCCACCGGTACATTGGTTCACCGCTAATTTTCTATGGGAAGCCGTGTTCCTAAAAAACGACAGATTGCGGAGAAAACGACAGATTGCTGTACCGCGCTGATTCCCCGGAGGGCCGACTCAGCGCGGGTGTTTTTAACCCGCGCAAGTAACGCCTCCAGACGCGCAGGGATTAACTTCGAGTGCTACTTCGAAAGCGCGTATCTTTCCCGCGCACAATTATTCCGGCACGCGGTCGTCCCGCGAGTCGCGACACCTCTCTTCACTCTGCAGGCACTGTGTTGGAGCACGCCGGGCAACTACGCGGTGGAAAGAAGAGGCTTTAGCACAATTTTGCGCTAATCTAGAGGAGTATTTGCAAGGTTTAATTTGGGGAGCGCATCCATGCACACGATCCTGGGCGCTGGCACTCCGCACAACTTTGTTTCATTCCATTCAGCTTCTCCTAAGCTAGGTAATCTATTCCCATTCTCCTCTTGCTGTGGCGTATTTGTCCAGCTGTACGATGGTCTTCTCCGAGGAAGGGTAGAGGGTCGTAGTAGGATGACAACGAGAGGCTGCAAATGGCTGTCGAATCGAGCGACGAAATGAAGCAACAAGGCGTCAGTTCCCAAGGCCTTGGGTAGGTCGTGGGATTTGTGCGCGACTGATCGACATGGCCACGCCCCGCACGGCCTCAGCGAAGCCAACCCTGTACTCCCAGCGAGGAAATGGCGAGTGGAAACACCCACAATTGCAGCGGGTGGGTCACAGACAAGATGGGGTAATTACCCCACCACCGTTGCTTCGCGCAGAATGCGGGACGATGGGCCTTTGCCCCAGTCATGTGTGCCACACGCGACGTCGCTACCTTCCTGCCTTGTCTACCGCCAAACCGTCTCTCTCTCTCTCTCCACACAAACCATCGTCTACCATACAGAATTCCCCGACTACTCTCCTCTACCCTACACAACGCATCACATCAGCAATCATGCGCCAAGGTCGGTGCTGTTACATCGTCCCCCAGCACCTCCTCCAGGCCAGCGCCCAGAGCACCCACGTACGACCGGGCCCCAGTAAACGCCGGCGTCGGCGGGACCGCACACCCACCGGCATCCCGTCTGTTACCCATTCGGCCACCGATCTTCCAAGCCCACTCGTATGGTCGGCTGAACGGAAAGATAGCTACCCGGCCGGCAGCGTGCTTTCAGGACCGACTCCAGCCACTCGGAGAAGTATGGGTGGAAAGGTCCGACAAAAGCTCCTAATGCGCGTTAGCAGCCCGCGTAGTCGTGGGTCTTGCGCGGCACGGACCTGCTCCTTTAGCATCACCACCGTGGTGAACTTCCTTCACAGAACGTAAGCCACGTCGTGTTATCGTCGCTGCTCCGGACCGAAGTGATCGTTTCTCCCACATAACTCTTAAGCTGGCGAGGAGGATCGATCTCTCTTTCACGGGACGAAACTGATGGAAATCCCCGCAAGAAAAGGACTACTGGTATGCCACCGAAATCCCGGCTGGACTCCCGTATCCTGCAGAGCTGATCGTTGACGACGTAAAGCGTCCGTACGCCCAACATGCTGACCTCGTCTATAATCAGGGCGTATTTCTCCTGCCAGCCCATCTTGGAAGCGTAAGTGGCTAGGTCTTAAGCCAATAAGAATCACTCCGAGGTCGGTCCACATTAACAGGTGGAATTCCACCTGTTAATGTGGATTCGGAAAGCTCTTAACCGGAGCATTCCAACCCTGCGGCCTGCTTCCAAGCCTAAACGGCCAGGATAAAGTGTGTGGCGAGTGTGGGTGCCGGAATCGATTGATTTGATGCAGGCTGCCTCGCAAGCATGTGACACCTGCAGCTTGGTGGTGCAGAAGTCCTCCCGGTCGACGTCGATTGCTGGCTAACCAATCGACTTGCCTTGTGATGGTCGTCCAGCAGCCATAGGAGGTTTAGGATCAGGCTCTTTAGCTGGGGTGTCGTAATCCCCGGTGTAGATGTAGTGCCAGAAGCTAACGAAGGTCCTTTCGTCGATATCATCCCATTCCACGGAGCAGTCCATCGCTTCCTTAAATTTTAAGATAAGCCTTTCCTTTATGTATCCCGCCCCGCCTTAGCCCACGCCGGCCGTCACGCTCTGGGCGAACTACGTCCAAATCATTGCGGCCTCGGACCTGACCCTTTACCGATACGCCCTGTCGGTTTCCCCCAACGCCACTGGCGGGAAACTGTCCCAGTATCCGACTGCTGCTGATGTGCTCTAGGCGCTGACGCAGAGCCTGTGCTACACGTACGGAGGGCCACAAGGCGGTCAGCGTCTATGCCGGCGTGGTGTGCGAGCGGGCGAGGTGCCATTTAAGCGAGGCTTTGAGACGCCGAGCCAGTCGATAGCGGGAAGTGCTAGAGCAGAGCCGCGGCAATGACGAGCTAGGATTTGTTGATCCATGCGAGGGACAGCACTGTCTGTGCAAGTACCTATTCCTCAACATAGGAAGCTGCGGCTCGTTGCCAATGGCGGGGAATTTGCATTTCATCTAAACGGCTTGTTAGAAGCATCTCCTGCTTTTCCTTGGCATGCTCGGCCGGCTGTTCTACGCTGGCCCTGCGCCTCGTCGACCACCATGCGTGTCACAAGGGTGCAATGCAGGCTTGAGAGGGGTGATCTCATTAATGATGGCTAAAAATCTTTTCATGGACTCAAGAGATGCTTAAGGAGCCAGAATCTGCTGAAGGGATCTCCAAAGGTGGCTAGGGTTATATAGGCAGGCTCTGGTGGTCCGGTAGCCCCATCTGAATGACTGGTCCCACAGGATTGGTGCCGACCCTTAGCGCACGGACCATGTTCCTATGTGAGGCTATTCCCGTTTACCAGTGGGCGCCTCCGTGTGACAATGCGCTAACTGCGGCGCCAAGATTATGGGCTGAAGTGGATACCATGCCGATGCATGTACCTGGAGGTACTTGGAGTGCTGACTGCCTCGGCCCGCGTGCATGGGCGGCTAGCTTTCTGTTTGCGCGAGTGGGTAGAGGCGCGAGCGGTCGTCGTGTCGTGCCGATTTAGTAAGGGCCAGGCGTGCGGGATCCCATGGATGGCTTCGGCGGGCCAGATGCGCAGATGGCGTGGCTGCGTGCGGCTCCGTTTGATCGTGGGACATTGCCTGCCAACCATGACGCCGCACGCTGCAAACTGCAGGGGTTGCGGCGTTCGGAGGCCGTGATATGCTCGCGCCAAGACACCGTGGCGCGTTCGATTTTGCGTCTGATGATGCATCTGGCGTCCTGACAGTCGCGTAGCTGCCACGTCGCGATTACTGTAGGCTGCGTTCTATCGAGCCGGCGGGTTATGGCACGTCCCGCAAAACTGATCTTCGAACGCATCGAATGTATCCTTGGGACATCTAAGAGCATGGTGAGCGATTGCGACAGCCGCATCACCAGTGCATTTTGGGAGGAAGTGCGCACAATGTCAAGGGCTGCTCAGGGAAGATCTTGTGGCATGGAGATCCCGAATGGATGGGGATTTTTAAAGGCTGAGTTTAATTTATATGGCTAGTTTTGATGGACCCAAAATATTGGTCACTTTCTCGCAACTCGCCGCCGAGTGGCCCACCCGGCGAAGGCTCAGCCCGCCGCCCCTGCCACCTGCTCCTGGGAGGAGATCATATCGAGTATGGCCTTGCGTATTCTCCTTCTTAAAGCGGGCGCGTCCACAGTGCAACTGGGTAGCTTTCCGCCGAGGATGGCCTGGACCAAACCTCGAGCGAGGACTCCGAGTAACCAGGGACCTTCAAGTATGTGGCCGCCTGTAACGAAAACGAAAACAAACAGGACTTTTAGTTTAGTGTTTTCGTTCGGTTTTGTTTCTTTGTTCCCTGTTTCCTATCTCCTCGAGTATTTGGAAGCATGGGGCCTGTTGGGTACCCGACAGTGGGCGATTACTTTCCTACGACACCATAGTTATATAAGAACCGACCGCTTGCGGCCGGTTTCCGGTTAAGCGGGCGACCCTCGTAGGCCACAAAAGAGCCCACGAGAGATAAGGGGTTTGCCGGACCATGACGAGGGCCATACGGCGTCCCAGGGGTGATGGTGACACAGCTACTGCAAGTACTCAAAAGGCCGACCGGGTCGTTCTGGCGTGCGATTTCAGGGGCAAGTCACGATCTCCGGACTGTTAATATGGTAAGTCCCCTTACGTGTGAGGCGCAACGAGGCTGCGTCGGGCGTCGACCCGCACAGGACGCCCTCCTTATCGGGGATGGTGCCGAATGTGGCAGGAGGAGGATTACACATTTGAGCAGTAGGACTATTTCATTCCTCGCTTAGTTAATGGCAGCCATTGGTTGAGGCCCGGCCTTCATTGTCAAGACCCTACGTCGTTTACATAAACAGGTTTTTGGTTCCCTTCCTTGGAAATTCTTCCTTTTCCTCTTTATCCTCTTTTTCGTCCAGCCTTTAAACCTGTGCGAGCACAGCCATGAGCACAGATATAAGCACCGAACCCCTTGTAGAAGCTTGGGATATCAACAAAACCGCCTTCTCTTATTCCACTTGGGTGTCCATTCCATGTGCCGGCTCCCTCGACAGCCCTGAGGGTTTGACGCCCCTTCCCTCAAACTTGAACCGCCTGTTTCTTGGAGAATCTTTGGCTCCCCTTCCCCTCAAGGTCTGGCGGCCTCTGCCTGCCGACCCGCCGGAACGGCAATTTGCCGAATTCCCGCTCGGCAGCCTTGAGAGCGGTCCGCTTGTTGAAGGGCCTTTGGCGCCATTCTTTCCTAACGACGTCACACTTGACAAAGAGGCCTGGCAGCCCCCGTTTGCCGACCTGTTGGAATGCCGTCTTGACGACCTCCCACTCGACAGCCTTGGGAACCCAACCCTTTCCCCCTCTCTCGAATCCATTTCCAGCCCCCTCGAATGGCTGTCGTTCTCTCCCGCCAAGCCTTCGGAATCCCCTGAAATTCCGGGAACCTTATCAAAGACGACGCACAAGCCGTTACGGCTCCTCGGCGGGTCAGGGCTGTCGTCCATTTGGCCTTCGCTCTGCCTAGCCCGTCCGCAAGGGGAGGCTACAAGCCCGAGCCCCCAGGGCTCCCAGTCTAAGAACCGGTCTACACGGTCGGAGCAACTTCCAGCAAGCTGCGATAACACCTGCGGTAGCCCTGGCGGCTGCGAAGCCGGGTGGCTCCCCGGAGGTGACGAACTTATGGAGAATCTGCGCACAGAACCCGCCATTGCTATAACCACTGGGCTGTTCGGTGGCCCCTCGGCCAATCCTCTTCCCAAGTCCAAGACACCCATGTTCAAGCGCCTAGCCAAACCCATCAACGCCGACATAGACGGCCTGAGGATGGCGGTCTGGCCCTGTTCCAACTCTCAAAAAAGATTTCCCCTACGATGCTTAGGGACCAGGACCACCACATAGGGGCTAAGCGGGGAAAACCGCCAGCTCGGTCCTCGGGGCTGTGGAAGCGCCGAACGCTTTTGCCGTCCGACATTTCGGAACCGGAAGGCACTTACAACATATCACCGCATCGTCCAAAGTAAGATAACTAGAACCGGAAGGTTCGTCGGAACACATGCCCGCAAGAGGAAGCGCACGGCTGACAGTTTTCCCCTTCCGGAAGAAGATCAAGCGTGGGGCCCGACATGGGCAAGGAACCCGCCACGCTGTGCGGCCTGGAGACGCCGACAAAACCCTGGGGTTCTAACGATAACCCCATAGTTCTGTCCGATTCGGAAGATGAGCTCACCCGCAAGCCGAAGAAAGGGTTAAAGGCTCCAAGACACCTACCAGTTTTTAGAAATAGAAGTCAAGCTAATTGGTCAACTGCATGCGTCTTTACTTTGCAATAGAAAGGTGAAATGGAAGACTAGGGGATAAATACTTGCCCGTTGTCGAAACTTAAAAGGGAAAAACAACAGCATGGTGCCGTGCTGGTGCGGTAGCGTCACAGTGCTAGTAGTGTTATTGAATCCTGCACAGATCGAACCGTGACGGCGCGCTTCGCGTGCATAGTCTCAAAAAGTGCCTTGTCCTGGCGTGCTTCTAGCCGTCGATTGGTCCGACCTTGGGCTATGATTGGGGGTTGCCCCTGACGGGAGGTTTGTGGATAGTGCACTCTACAGCCAACGGCTTAACCAATAACCTGCAGTTCTGCAGCTCATTTGCTAAATGGGTTCAAGGCAATCGGCCTGGGGCAGCTCGCGGGGATTGGTCCGGGCACCTCCACTCAAGCTGGAGGCCTGCCAAGATTGAAAGCGGGTCTGGATCACAGCCTATCAAATCGGCCTTTTTTTACGACTTTTCTGGCGTTTGGCTGCCTGCTTCGGACGGCGAAGGGAAGGCCTTAAGGGCATCGCAGCAGCCGCGGTCGATTGGGCGTGAAAGCTCTGCGTCTTTTAAGGTTTCTGGTAATCTGTCTGTAGTCGTACTAAATATATCAGAGCTGTCAGGGCAGGCAAAGTAAACGTGAGCAGTAGAGTAGATTCGTTGTTGAAGAGAGGGAGGCCCGGAGGGCCGGCCTGCACAGAATTGGGGTATGCCCAATTCAGTGTGGGGGCCCACTTGGTGGGGCTCGCCCTTACCTATCAGATAAGAGCTTGTGGGTCTCCAAGAGCCCCGTGCCTCCTACTCTCTACGAGGGCCCTACTGGCCGTGACAAAATACCTCAATTGGTCGATCATGCTGCAGGATGAAAGTCGGCAGCATTACATATTTTCCGATCACTATAATCCGCGAAACTATCTTTCCGCCGACACCTTTGGATCCTTGCAGGCTTCACCAACGATTTCCCTTATCCGAGCATACAATCCTATCCCTTGTCTTTCCCATCTCCTACCATTCGGAAATACCGCTTTCCGTAGTCTGTCCCAAGGTAAGTTAGTGGACCCCCTTTCCGCACACCCCCCCTGTCCGCACACTTTTTCCACATAAACTTACTGTTTTCATAAAGCATTTAAAAATTATATAAAAATAATAGAAATATATAATGACCGGCTTTATATATTTAAAAGCATAAGCTTTTACATAAAGGATTATATTTATATTTATTTGCTTTATATAAAGTATAATTTGGATTTAAATGAAATTAGGCGAAAATGTTAGTATTTCCTAACAAATTGTATGCAATTTATAACAATTGAAAATATAAAATAACTTTTTAAATAAATACATTATATACATGAGATAACGTGCCCCTGATATATCAAATCCTAGAATTTTATACAGCAAACGCTATTACGTAATGCGATTTTTATTTATTTAATTAAAATTGAAATAGTAAAAAAGTATAATATACTGTGTAATATACTGTGTACATTTAGAATATTAGCTTAAATATAAGTATTACTGTTGGAAGGCAGCCAAAGGATCGCACACAAGCAAAGGCATGACACGGCCAGGCAACCCGGGACGGACAGGCAATGCCTGCCCGGCACGGAGCCTCGGCCGGACAGGCCAAGGATCGCGCACGGAGATCACAGGTTTCGGCTGTGACTTTTCCGGTTGCGCACGGAGGCGGAGCATGGCTACGGGCAAGGCCGGCCCTTGTTTACCCGCAGCCCGCGGCCTCCGCAGGAACACTATATAGTTGTGGAAGGCTCCGTACGGACGAGCCTTCCATTGTTCTTAGAGAGACAGACAGCTACTTAGGAAACCATTTAATCCTAAGCTTTCTCACCCCGCCTGAATATTCAGGCCTTCCCCGAAGGCCACGAACAATTACATAATAAGCAAAATTATTACGTAAAAGCCCAGATTTTTAGGAATTAAATTCAGGTTATTGCACATGTATAACGTATATATGAAAAAAGTTATCTTACAATTTATCGCTGTTATAAAATACATACATTTTGCTAGGAAGCCTTAACAGTTTTGCTACTTTCTCTTTACACGTACATTATAGCTTATTATATATATAAATATATATTAATAAATCATGTTAAAGCGTGCCCTTTTCTGCTATATAAAAACGCTTACTTTATATTTATATCATTTTTATACGATTTTTAAATGCTTTATAAAAACAGTAAGTTTATGTGGAAAATGTGTGCGGAAAGGGGGGGTGTGCGGAAAGGGGGTCCACTGACTTATCAATGGCTGGTAGTCTGGCGTGAAGTTCTTTTCCACGGATTTGATAAAGTCACTTTCATAAGACACTTATCCCTTCTCCATTACCAACAATTCCATATTAATGTAATTCCACTGTCAAACTCCGGAATGACTCTGCTTTTATCTGGCCCGTCGTAATAGACGCATAGTTATCCGGAATACGACCCAAAAGAATAACTCGAGATCGTGCATAAAAGAATGCTGCTCGCCGAAAAGCGCACCGATGGCCATGAAAGCCCGCGTACCGGTTTTACCCTTTGCTCCGGAGGAGCCCTCTCGTCGCTCTCGCCGTCAAAAAGGGCGCGAGCAAGCTGGGCTCCGCCGTCGGTGCGGTCAGGGACGTCGCCAATCAAGGAGAGGAGAAGGCCGAAGACACCGTCAAAGGTGGCGAGGAGAGGGCAGAGGATACTGCCAAGGAAGGAGAAGAGAAGCTCGGCGAGACCGAGGTCCAAGCCGGCGAGACTGCCGAGGGTGCCAAGGGCGCCGCGGCGGATGCCAGCGAGCAGGCCGGTGAGGCGGCCGAAGACGTGGCTGATCAAATCGACTTTTCCATCCTCAAGGGAGGTAAGGTCAACAAGTGCGGCAACATCGTTAACGGCGACGGCGAAGTGGTCGACCGCATCAAGGAGGGCGTCCCGGGGCACCTCGTGGGCAAGCGCGTGGACGAGACGGGCGCCATCTGGAACGACAGTGGCGCCGTCATCAGCCGCGCCGAGCCCATCCCCGAGAACGAGCTCGAGTCCATGACAGAGTCGGCCCCCTTCGAGGCCTTCCCGACGCCGTGGTCAACTCCAGGGCATGGTCGTCTTCGAGGGCGAGGAGATCGG